CTCTGAAAACTGTCGTGTATCTCAGGTTGTATGAAAAACCACAGCTGTATAGAGGGGATGGAGAGTGATGATCGGAGAGATGAAGTGTAGCACTGTCCGTTACATGGCTGACTGCTTCAAACCACTTACTCAGTGATCTATAATGTTTCTCTATCTGTAACCACTTGGAGCCTGAGTGTGACATGTTCCTGGCTTGAACTGTGGCCGCAGTCGTCAATAAATAAAGATCCGTACAACTCTAGTGTCTGCTGTCTACAGCTGGAACAGATACCCTGCCAGACTTTCCAACTAAGACACATTAGCTACAATAATTGAGCAACACTGAAATCACTCTTTACGACACTTAGATCAGTCTGGGTCATGGTTTAAAAAACAAGAGGATATACTGGTGATATAAGATGCACTTTGCACATGTTGCATGCATTAGTAATTTGTAAGCAGCATAAGTAGCGGCATATATAAACATCCACATCCCTGGCCTCTCCTATTGTCAAGTCAGGAACAGTTCAACGTATTGACTTTATTATTTTTTTTAATATTAACTGGATATTTTACTCTGTAATCACATAAAACTTCCACTGCTGCTCGTGTTGCGCTGCACTAAATTGATGCGCCGTGCTCCGGCGTCCGGCAAAAATAGAAGCCTTGTATGTCTGACCTGGCCGATGGAGCTGGACGGCGGACAGATTCTGTGGAATTACTGACATTGATTATAATGCCTGCGTACTTGATGCACCTGCCGTGCCGGAGCACTTCAATTCTTGAGTTTCATAAATGCACTTAGTGGCATAATCACACCTGTAGATACATAGTTAAAAGCATATGCTGCATCACGTGTTACGCAAATACTTCGATATGTAGCGATGTTTACACTTTGGTGCGCTGCAGCTACAAAGTATTTTTTTCAATATTAAAAATGGAAAATGAAATGCAAAGTGACACAAGCATAACAAAACTACGTTTTTATGTAGCATATCTGCACCCTTTGCAGTATTAGTGTGTTTTGTTGCTAATGTTATTATGCAAATTAATAGATATGCTAGTGCGTTAGTCGCAAAGATAACATTCAGGCACTCTAGCTAATCTGCATCTGCTGCATTATTCAAGGATTTTATGCTTTTGGATACCATAAAGAGGCATCTATATGAATATCACTCTAGTTCATAAGAATAAAAAAAACTCCTCACAAGAGTTTTAATGTCCACACAGATATTTATATGTAGCTAATTATTTGTTTTTTGCTGCCTTTTCTCAGCTGGAACACCACTCTTACTTCTTGGTCTAACTGCTGACAGTACAAATCACAAAATAGGAAGTCTTAGTTGGAAATCTTTTATTGCTGGCTGCTGGCTACACCCACTGCTCTGAAAAGTTGGCTGTCGCTCCAAAAGGCTGTCATCATTAGACTATAGCTGGTGGTTTTTGAGGTTGTACTAAAGAGGACTTTTTGCCATCACACTGAGTCACCTTACTTCAACACAACATCACAACAATATAAACGAATGTGATTGGTCAGAATGACTTTAAAAGGGAACTATGAGTTTTATATTTCAAATTATTGGATTAAATCAGGCTTGTTATGCCCCATGCTGAGAATCTCATATCAAACCAAAGCTGCTCCACAGGACATGATTTTCATGCATACTCAAGATTTGTTTCTCTGTTTTGGGTGTTTCGTTAGCACTCATCACACCCTGCAGGCCTGCTGGAATAAACTGCAGAAACAGGGCCTCTCCCTCGGTGAGAGCGCAGCCGTCTGTAATGACCACGAAAAGACACACTGGAGTGTCAGCTGGGGCTGGTTCGCGGCCTGGAGGGCTGACCAGAGCAGCGTCAGGGGCTTGTAGATGGCGTGTGAGAGCTGCTGTCTTAATTGCCTGTACTTCACTAAGTGCCCGCAGCTCTCCATCTAAGTACATCTGACGCCAGTGAAATTTATCTGCTGCCAAAAGTGCTGAAAATAATACAAAGCATATTGATTTAAACTTACGGTCCCTTCTTTAACATGTGGGGGCGACGGTGAATAACTCAGACGAAGACGCCACACTCAAAGGAATAATTGATCGTCATTAGGAGTTTTATGTTGAAGCAGCTGCATGAAATATCGGCGTTGTGTTCACGTGCCTTTTTCCACTAAACTGCAGCTATCGCCACATATTTCTGTGTAACTTTCGGGCCTGAATATACATTGAAGTGTTGTCCTTCATCAGGGTTTTTTTTTATGCTCAGTGCAGATGGTTGGATTAATGAAAAATGCAGCGCACATTAGACTTTAAGAGGTAAGGTGAGGTAAAACTGCTGGGATGCACCACTGAAGGGAGAAATTGCAACACTCCTGCAAGTTGCAATGACCTGGAATACAGATACACTCATACAAATCCTGCCATTCCTGATATCTGATTCATATACACTAGGGATGTGCCGATATACGATTTAATTGCGATAAGAGATATTAAACAGCCGCGCTGATGAAATTCGTAAGGTACTGTAGTAATCGTTTCACAATTATAATTTAAAGACGAGTGGCAGCATTACTTAGAGAAGCCGAGTACTTACCAACCTAACCCGCTTGTAGTCTCACCCACGGTGTCAAAGCCTCGGTAGCAAAATGTACAAACAAACCACCACAAAAGTAGTCCCAAATCCAAAACAAACTCTCGAATTAAGAACATTAATTCCAGCCTGACAAAAACGGGAACATTAAAAGAGAAAATGAAGAAATTTTACAACAAAACGCATGGCCACCCACAATGCATCATATAGAGGTGTACTTGGGTACATAAACTGTACAGTAAGCTGTCAAGGTAGAGAACATTAGATTTTCGGGACAGCAAATATTCCGAATTTAGAGGGCTGTTTTTTCGGCTTATCTGAATAGTCTGAATGAAATCATTTAAGGCACACACTTTTGAATCCATCCTATGGTGAGGAAAACTTGGATTATTTCGCCTTGTTATGTACTTTCAACCGCGCTCCCGTCAGGGGTACATTCTACGGCATTACACCGGACCAAGAACAGTCGGAGACTGAGAATGACGAAACGCCTCGGCTGTATCCTCCTATTAAAAAGGTTTCGTCGGCAGTATGGACGTTTTACGGCTTCACAAAACAGACGGAGCAGGTAAACCTGACACCAATCTGGAAGTTGCAGCGCCGTTGTCTAACACCTCAAACCTACGTGCCCACCTCTGTGAACACCATCCAGCATCGTTCGCCCAAATCAAGGTAAAAACAACAAGTTTGGTCTACTCTACTGCTTATTATTGACAACGTTAGTGATGTTTCTGCTAACTTTAGCACCAGAAAGCTAATGCTCCCAACGTCGCGTTAGCTGCCTCTTGCTCTTATTGTGTGTGCGTCATGCTGTGCACAGAGAAGTGATTTCGCAGTTTTTTTGCCATTTTTAACAACGTTTAAAGCAATGCGCTAATATCGTGATAATATCGTGATATTTTGGGCCACCAATATCATGATATCAAATTTTTCATATCGACAAATGCCTAATATACACATTTGTTTTGGCCCGAAACAGACCAGACTGCATGTTGTATCTGCTGAGATCTGAATCCTTTAAAAGTAAAAAAATGACCCTTTTTCCAGGCAGTGTAAACATCCTCTTACACATGACCAGACAAATAGCAGCACACAGGGAAGCGGCGGGGCGAACATGAGAGGGAGAAGTGGGCCAAACATGCCATTACAGAGTGTGACCTTGTGGAACTACCTGAAGCATCTCCGCGTGTCTGTGTCTGTGTCTGTGTCTGTGTCTGTGTCTGTGTCTGTGTCTGTGTCTGTGTCCTCCTCTCAGACTGATTGCCGAGCCGATGCGACGTCACGGTGCTGATGTGAGTGATGGAGGACTTAACTTCATTGAGCAAGGGCAGGAGGAAGGAAACGCTGTCCTGTCACACCTGAATGTCAACTGTAGGACTGCGCTCTGTCGCCCTCTGTTGGCCATTCAGATATCACAGTCAGAGAGAATCAAAGTGAAGCTGTATGTCGACTTTGTGTTACATTCTCATATATTTTTCCTCTTAGGATTTCTTTCTACACAGCATATATGCTCATTTAATCGCCTTTATTTGATAAATGCAACTGCTGCAGACCATAAAGTATTCGTTCTTATAATTCTTCCATTTTTGGAGCTCAATCATGTCGTGTTTTTTCTGGTTTTCTTTAAATAAGTTTCAAAAAGTTAAATTTTTTGCAAGGAAAAAATTATAACAAATGTATGTGAGCCCTCTCCTCAGTAGAGAAGAGGATACGGGGTCCATAATTAACACAAATTATGTTAATTTTCAATCTATCAGGCCTCAATCCATCTTAAGAGGACTGAGGTCTAGAAAGGTCCCCAACATTTCTTGATTTCATTTCTTGGTTCTGGAAGTGATTTTTATCTCATGCAGTGATTCCCACTACAGAGACATACCTGTTTCTGATGCGTTACCACATGAGAGCTCAGAGATCATCCAGTGAATTTTGGCCGTGTCTCTTTTGTGCAGAGATCTCTCTGAATATTTTGATGGTATTATGCTCCATCAATGATGAAATCCTCGATTTTGTTTCAGTTTTATGCTGAGGAATATCATTCTGAAGTTATCGAGCTATTTCCTCACCCACTCTCTCACAGAGCGGCGAACGTCGCCCCCGTCTGAACTTATGAGCGGCTCAGGCTTTTTTCAACTTTTGGAGTGTTTTTGTTCTCTGTTTCAACCTCTTGAAAAACTTGTTGCAGTTTTTAATCCAAAATAAGAGTTTATTTTATATTCAGTATTTGAAATGTCGTCTTTTCAAACTCTTATATGTTGAAGGTTGTTTGTAGTTAAACTCCAAATCTCAATCAGCTCGACTTCTACTGTTCTGTGGATTCTCTATTTTCAGGAAAGCAACATTTTTTTGTGCTTGTTTTGCTTTAAAATCAACCTCTGAGTTTATGAGAAGCACTTAGACTGCAGTTAAAAGTTAACAAGTGAAGTGCTGCACCGATTGTGTTATGGAGTTTCAGTTTTTACTACCTTTAACTTCCCTTCAGTGTATTTTACTGCGAACAATATTCTTTTAACTTCACTGTCTGACAAGTTTAATGTGTTTATAGATGATTTTACCTAAATCCAGCATTCAAGCAGGATCATTTTAAAAACCATGATTTACAGAGTACTTTCCATCAAGGTAATAATCTCACTATTTAAATGTGATGCAGATCTGTAACACTGAAATTTAACCACACGGCCAGTAGATGGCAGCAGAATTTCTAGTTTAAACTTCCCAGCTTCCACTGCATGGTCAGCCAGCTCCACTCTGGTTGTACTAAATCATCCCTTTTTTTTTCATCAGAAAGTAAAAATGGGGTGTGTTGTTTTTCCCTCCCTTTTTCTAGTTTTTGTCCAGATCCAGGTTTCTGATTGGTAGCCAGCTTTGGAGTATTTTTTTCCTCCCTCGCACAACTTTGCCTATAAAACCTTTGATGGATTGAGAGCTTCATTGTGTGGAAGTGTGCAGCACTGCTCATTGATGGGATTATTGAATCAAGAGGAGAAAGACAACTGCGACTCTGGATTAACTTTGCGCTGGAATATCAGTCGTTGAATTAGAGATAAATCTGCGTTCTCTTTCTTTTTTCTAAACTCGAAAAGTTTCTGACGGTTTGTTAAACTTGGGGCTGCTCGTTTTCGCACTATGGCAAACTCGTGTCTCCAAATCAGCGGTTTTCTCATTGGCTTCCTCGGCTGGTTGGGCATCTTGGTCGCTACATCCACCAATGACTGGGTGATAATGTGCAAATACGGTCTGAACACCTGCAAGAAGATGGATGAGCTGGGGGCAAAGGGACCCTGGGCAGATTGCGTTATCTCCACGGGACTCTACCACTGCTACACACTGACGCAGATTCTGGAGCTGCCAGGTTGGTCCTGTTTTGTTCTCAGGTTTTACAAGATTAATCACTTTCAGGTTTATTTTGGTCTCTTTTATTTGTTCCCTTTTTCCAGGTCAATAAATATTTGATTCTTGTTTGTTTCATCAGCCTACGTCCAGACGACTCGCGCCCTGATGATCACAGGTTCAATACTGGGGCTCCCTGCCATAATAATGTGCCTCATGTCCATGCCCTGCATCAACCTCGGCAATGAACCCCAGAGCTCCAAGAACAAGCGCACCATCCTGGGAGGAGTGCTGATCCTCATAGTTGGTAAGCGGCTTCTCTGTACTTCATTAAAGCTGTGTGAATCAAATGCATTAATAGGCATATTGTAAAATGTATTCAGCACTTACGAGTAGGTCATATTGTTATGCAAACAACTAAATCCCTCCCACTTAGCCTTACTATGACCTTTTTTAACCCCACTTGAAGTGCTTACTAGCTGCAGAGGGTGGAGAGTGTTGAATACGACTGTCTTCCTCCCTCTGCTGAACACATTTCCACATGTGCTCACTTCTATCTTCCTGTTCCACTGAACCCATCCCCCTAGATCCAATCACATTCTTCTCCTACACCTACTCTACTCCACACCCTGCCGCTATCCTGAACCACATGGAAACACACTCCCTGTTTGGCCCAGTTTACTGTGCTTATAAATATCAGACAGCATTTTCCGAAGCCTGTGTCCTTCACATGAAACCTCTGCACCTGCGTCCACCGCTCCACTTTTCCACCGACCATGTTTTTTTTAAATCTTTGTTTTCATACATTTTTTTAAACGTGATGTATTCTGGATGCTCAAAGAAATGTTGTTCCCCATGTTTTATGAAGCATTAGTGGGGAAACTCTCAGTCCATGTTTTTTTAGATTCAGTTATTACCGACTCCCATGAAGTAAAGCCATAATTTATCTGTGCTCAAATATCTGTGCTGGGATTTAAATATTTGTCTATGACCACGCGGCTCTTTTGTAGTTCAAAGCTAGGCTTATGTAACACCATTAAGTCTTGCTGCTAACTAATATTATTGTTCACATTCCTTCTTCCAGTCAACCCCCTGTGGTCTTTTTAAGAAACACAAAGGAAAACAAAAGTTAAAAGTTCTGCGCTTCAAAACTGTTTTTGCTCTAAACTGCAGCAGGAACACAGACAGACTATAGGAGGAGAAGTCAAACGGAAACATTTTCTCCTATGTATCTAATAACCAACTTTATGGATGTATGTTTGAGTTCTTTTTTCATAGATAGGACAAAAACAAAGTGTCTCTGTCCAATTATGATTTCTTCTATAAAGATGTAGTTTGTCATAGGAACTCCTGATGGATTAAAGGACAGATCACTTTTTCACAGTTTTAAGTATTTTTCAAGCTATCAATGTAAATGCGTTGCTATTTATCTATTCCAGACTTGCTCGTGCTAATTAAGATGATTCTTGGAGCTCAGAGCAGCATTATGAAACTCTACTTAAATTCTGCTACTGTCTGAGTCCCAAGTGAACTTAGCAGTGGTGCAGTATACCTTAAGTTAATATGCACCATTTTGCAGCCCCTCAATAGCTTTATAAAATCATGGAAAATTATGTTTCATACATGTTGTGTTTTACATTGCACACCATAATTCCACATATTTATTTCCACATAATTGGCTTAGAGTGTATAGTTTTTATTTGCACCATTTTGCTCTTTGAGTTTTATCAATTAATTAGTTGCTTTACATTTCATATTCCTAACTTAGGTTACTATAGGTTTATTTGATTTTGTTAAACTTTTGTGAAGGTTTTCTCTCCTATTTGAACCATTTTGCATCCCGAGTTTCATTGTGTAACCTTCCCATCCATCTAAAAAATTTATCATTCAGAGCCAGTTTTATGGTTTTTTTGTCCTTAATTGACTTGACCCTGAGTTGCTCGCTTTTTATCTAACTTGTTTATAAAGTTTGCATTTGTTTGGACCATTTTGCATCCCCATCTTCATTTTGAGCTGGCCCTTTATAGAGTCCATCTAGGCTGTTTGTCATTTGAGAGCCAGTTTCATGATACATGTTGAGTCTCCCAGTTATGTAACATGTATCCAAAGTTTGCATTTGTCTTCGCCATTTTGCATCCCCAGTTTGACAGCACCTTGTCATTATGTTTTACTTGCCCTTTACTGCCAACCGCTCTTTTTTTTATTTACCCACTTAGTTTGCCTTGAGTTTAAGGTTTGATTTTGTTTGGTCATAAAGAAACTTGTATCTGAGCGTTACGTACTATCATAGGCACAGCTCTAACAGTTAAACCAATTAATCTGAATGTTTTCCCCCTCAGGCCTGTGTGGTATCGTGTCTACCGTCTGGTTCCCCATTGGCGCTCACCAGGAGCAAGGTCTGATGTCGTTCGGCTTCTCCCTTTATGTTGGATGGATGGGAACAATCTTTTCCCTGCTGGGCGGATCCATGCTAACCTGTTGCTCCTCAGATTCCTCCTCATCACGCTCCTACCAGGACAACAATCGATTCTATTATTCCAAACAGGGAGGTGGCAACCCACCGACAGCGGCCTCCACTAATCACGCCAAGAGCGCCCACGTCTGAGACGGGAGAGTTAATGAGCGCTGTTTGGATGTAAAGGGGGACTGTAGTTTGTAAATAGAGACATTTACATTTGCAGAAACATTCCAGCACACAGTTACACATACACATGGGGGTGGGAAAAACTCCTATCACACTCATTCACATTTGTTTAGATAGATACACGTATTCTTGAATGAACACACAAAGGCTTTATTGTTTGAGCCCTTTTTTTTTGTCCTTGATGGATTATTTTTGTGTAAAGAGAGCTTGTCTTCCAGCCTCCTCATGTTGGGCGCGGTGTGGACTCTCCCCGCTCTTACATAATTTTACAGCATCGTGATGAACTGCCTACGCAGCAGCCTGAGGTCTTAATCACAGAGGCCTTGTGGACTGAGATATTGATCTTTATACCACTTCTATTTTTCTATTTAGATGCTCCCAGAGATGAAATCTTTGATGATGAATCTGTTTTTGTAACCATATGATACCATGATCTATAGTTTGGATAGGAGCTGGGAATGAGAGCATTTTGCTTTGATTTGATTGTGTTTGCTAACATTGTTTATGTACGCTGGTTTGTCTTTGACAGTCCAGCACAAATCTATGGTAATCTTGCTTTTTTTTTTTTACAGCTACTGCAGGATAACTGCAGCATGAAGGGATCAAAAATACTGCAAAATAGCTTGAGACAGCAGTGTGACAGTCTTCATACATGTCTCAAAGGCACTGATAGTACTATTTCCTCATCCAAGCACATTTTATAAAACTAACTTGCTTCTTTTTTCATGTTAAGTAACAAAAAGCAGCTTATCACCTAACTGTGCAATTATGACTTTTAATAAATAGTAGTTTTATAAGGTATCTATTCAACTGGTGTGTAGCTTAAAGTTTTTATGCACAAAAATCAGTATTAACTCGCTTTTGAAAAAAATGTGATGACTTGAATGTTCAGTATTCGAAAAGCGTTCTGTGGAGCTTGATATTTCCAGTTCAGATCTGTGGAGAAGCAGTTTTAGCTTATTTATTGTTTCACTGATGTGCTTTTGTGTGATTTTCTACAATAAAGATAAAATAACTAAAAACAGCCTTTGTCTTAGGTTTGTCACACTCTAAACTTAATTTATCAAAAGTTTTCATTTATTGTGGTTTGTAGTTTAAGTTTGAAAAGATCGACATGAATTCTGGTCACATTTGTATAACTTTCTTTGTCGTTCAGGAAGCACTGTAATAGAAAACAGTTTGACATTTTATGACTGGAAAATTTATATTCTATCAGGACAACGCTTACATAATTTGGCCTCCCACCCTCAGACTGTTGTCAGTGGAAAACAGCTGTTTGGTAGCAGTGGGTTCGTTTTAAATTAGTGAGCAAATTGAACTAGCTTCAGTCGTGCTAAACAAAAGATATTCTTAGAGCTTGATACCGCATTTTTAATCACTTAGTGTATTCTGACTTTCATAAGTCTGCTTAATCAATCATCATCGAGGTGACACTGCTGCACAGTATGCCTGGGTTGATACGCACCATTTTGCATCCCCATATGTTATCATGGAAGTAGCCTCTCATACATTACTGTGTCATCCTTATTATAAACACAACAAAAACACAACTGAATTAACTCATGGATGCATATTTTGTTGTCATTTGCACCAATTTGCTCCTTTTGTTTTGCATCCTTGATTTAGTTTACTCTAACTTCCTCTGATTGATTACAACTATTTTGAAGACTTTTGCATCATTTTGCATCCCCAGTTTAGTGTTGTAACTCCCTTCTTATGGAGCACTGTGTCCTTCTAAGAAATGTGTCTTTTGAAGTCAGCTGCAACCTTAAATTTCCCAGTGTTGCATGTAAGGTTGCTTTTATTTACACCATTTTGCATCCCCAGTTTAATTTTCTAACTCCCTAAATATGTATTTTTTTATTGTCATTTGCACCATTTTGCTCTTTGAGTTCTGTCATGTCTAACTTGTAAGACATGACAGAATCCAGAGCAACCTTTTGTTTTGCATCTCTTCTAGTTTACTCTGACTTTCTCTGATCAATTACGATTATTATGAAGACTTCTGCACCATTTTGCATCCCCAGTTAAGCACTGAAACTCCCTTCTTATGGAGCAGTGTGTCCTTCTGAGAAATGTGTCTGTACGTTTTTCACTCTTATTTTAGTTAGCCTTAGACGTACCAGTTTTGTTTCTTAAGTTTGCGTTCTTTTGCAACATTTTGCAACCCTGTTTTCATTTTGTGAGTCTCCTTGTAGAGCACTGTGTCTTGAAAAACTTGTCAGTCAGAGCCAGCTCAATAATTTTTCATCCCTATTTTAGATGAGCTAGTGTGTACCATTTTAGTACCTGAGGTTTGTTTTCTTTTGCACCATTTTGCATCCCCAGTCTATTTTTGTTAAACCTCTCCCTTATTGTACACTGTGTCCTGAGAAAATTGTCAATCAGAGCCAGCTTGAGGTTTTTAATTCCTGTTGTAGTCAAGCTTGAATCTCCCAGTTTTGTAAGTGACATTTGCTCTCATTTGCATACCAACATATCACATTTGAGTATAAGCTGTAAAAACATGAATTGTTTTCAATGTATCATTGACTCCGTACCCTTGAGTTAAGCTGGCACAGATTAGTGTCTTGCTAAGACACTCAAAGCCACACTCTTCTGTCACTCCCCTGCCAACCACAAACACACACAATATGTAACCTAGAAGTGTGATCTTGTCCACTGTGTGTCTGTCTGTGTGCTCATCTCCACACACCAAGGTCACTGAGTCGTATCAGCGCTATAACATGATACTGGAGAAACATTGTGTGTTATCTCCTACCTCAGCTTATCTTCAGACACAGACAAAAACACTGTCTGTCTTGGTTTTATACCCATCTCAGTTCCTGTATTTCTACACATCGCTTTTTCACGATGTGTGTGTGTGTGTGTGTGTGTGTGTGGGTGTGTGTGTGTGTATTTCCTGGCACGCCTGTGTAAGCTGGTGTGTGTGATAATGTCAGAGTGTGTACTCCCTGGAGTGTAATGCTGTTCCAGGCACAGATCCATCCAGTCCACAGGAGGCCAGTAGGAGGCTGGTGGGCAAGCAAGCTGTCCTGTACTGAAAAGGAGGCTGGATGTGTTATGATGCTGTGCTAAAATGTTGCTATCTCAGGTAGCTGTTGCAAGATGAAAACTCATAATGTTTGTTTTTATGTTGTAGTTTCACTTTCCATCAACCTTAATGTCTTTCACTCTCAGTTAAACAATAAGAGATACTTTCCTGAATGCATCTTATGTCCAAAAATACAAATATTCAGAGTAGCAATCAGATTTTAGCGCCAAAACTCAAAATTTGAACATTTAACATCAGAAAAAAAAACAGGCCTCACTTCTGTATTTGCAATAAATAGCTTTCATTGTTGCATGGAAGCAATATCAACAACTCAGCAAAAAACAGTGCACCCAGGAGCAAAATAACCACACATATGGAAGAAACTACATTAAAAAAATTACTTAAAAAAAACAACCACATCATACAGCTTTGTGCCAAAATATACAGAAGAGAAAAGGAATATCTAGTAGTTGCGAGAGAAGCCATTCTCAACAAGTCCAACACGTATTGACTGGACACTGGGCCACAGCGAACACAGAGCATAGGAAGAACATGGCGCGCCTTCTCTGAGCCAAAATAACCAAAGAGTGGCTGACTTGAAAAGCAACAGTGGCGACGTTGAGTTATAATTCACCCTTTATAGAATTGTATTAAAATAGTTTTCGCATATTTCCTGTATTAGTCTAACTCCTAAACCTTCTACAGTCCTAAAGATGCCTAAAGCAAACTTTCATAATTCTTCAAAGGAAAGGATTTAAGTTTATAAATGAATTTTATTACTCTAGTGATTCTATGGTTGGTAAAAATATATCTTTTAGCTGTTCCTCCCAGGCCTCCTCTTAATTAAAAACACAAAAATAACTGAATGTAAAGGCCCATAACTCTGCCCAGTTCTGTTGTGCACACCTGCCCAGGGAGGCCTTGTGAACGGGAGACAGCTGTAGAAAAATACTTTTCTTATCGATCACTACTCTAAAGTACTTTTTATCGGTGGCTTGCCCAAGCTGGACAAACAAATCTACCATAGTCAGTGAGGTCTAGACTAATACTTTGAATTATTTATAGAACACTGAGCATCTAGGATCTACGAAATGACCATTGCACTGTTGCCTAAAGCCATTGTGAGGAAAAAAAATCTGTCCTCTTCTGGTAAACCCACTTTTTGCAGCTTATACACAGACCCCCCCCCCCATAAAGAAAAACCTTTAGCTCTATTGTTTTTCCTGTCCACTTTGAAGAAACTTCAGTCGCCTTTCGGTGAAAAGTAAACGAACTTTGTGGACTTTGGCTTGCATTGGTCGTGGTAGAAAAGAGGGAATATAGGAAGTAGATTTACTGTAAGTGTTTGAGGGAGGATGTGAGGGGAGTCTTTCCTGCACACTCATGTGTTTGCTACATGTTCTACTCCCTCTTTCCCCAAGAAAGGCCGGGTTCCCGCACCTGGGTGAGAAGATAAACTGAGAAATGTAGGAGTGTGTGAACAAAAACCCTGGAAATAATCTGCTTTTGTCCCATTAAATTGATTCTTATTCAATGTAGAGCTGATATATAAAGAATAAGAAAAGTCTGGGTTGAATAGAAATGATAGAATTGTATAGTGACTACAGCTATATGTTAGCTGATAAGGTTGTAATACATCTGTTTAATCCTCCCTGTCCCCAGGTATGAGAACTGAGCCTGCGTTCAGTTTGGTCTAGTGTTGTATTTATGTCTCGTTGCTATCAGTCACCACATGCAAGTACGACATTTACAGTCTGGACCTCGTGCATGACAGCATGCTACACATTCACCAGACGGTCACATTGAGGCGCAGGCGTAGACCATAAACACACCGACATACACACACACATACTGTACATGCACTCTCACACTCGAATGCAGACAAACGAAGCAGGTAATCTAGAAAGTCAACTGTACAGTACAGTGTTAGAGGCATAGACATGCCTGAACTTTGTCATGTTTGGCTGAGCTATGAATGCAAAGCTTTTGGAGTCTTATGGCTGAGTTAGGAGGTGATCTGGGTGGGGCAGAGATGTTTTTCCTGATTAAAATTATAAAATATGTGCAGAGTTCAAATCTTTCACATTAATTTAGTTTCTAAACCTTATCACTTGACAGAACGCTGACATTGGACAATTCTGCAAAAAACCCTTAGATTACATCAAAACCAAAAACTCCAAATATCCACCCAAGGATGGAAAAAATAAGAACCAATGACTGACAGGAGTGAGAAAAATATCAGCACATTTTTCTTGAGTGAAACTTTTTTATGAGGCCCAAAAACCCCAAAAGGAGCATTTGTGTCTTCCCTGACCACGATGTACCCTCTGTACATGGTCGGGGTCATAGTTCCCCAGTCCCTGCTGTTCTGGGCCAAGCATTTACTTATGGACGGCAATGCAGCCAAAGCCACCATGTTGGACATATGTTTATGTTTAAGCTAAACCAATTTAATTGTACGAGTTTATTGAATTAAAGACGGTTTTGTTCAACTACAACTACTAGAAAAGAAAGATGTCAACAGCCTCTGTAGCAACAACCCAAATACCTCAACCATGACAAGGTAATGTTAACATATCTAGAAGGAACTAACCCAGCAGCCCTGGTCATAAGTACACCAAAAACTCTTCTACTACAAGGATTGTTAACAACCCTAAGATGACCTTACCCAGTCACCTTGTCTACAACAACACCCCTTATGACTCTCCAACAAAAGGGGAAGTTAACAACTCAAAGAGGGAGTCAATGGACCTGATAACAACAACAACCATGATGAGTCTTCTTCAACATGAATGTTGAAGAAGACTCATCATGAGACAACAACAACCCAAACTACTCCACTACTTCTCTGGAAGGAACTGTCCCAACAGTCCTCCTGACAAGAATCCCAACAACTCTACAACGAGGGAAGTCAACAAGTAAAGGTTGACCTAGTCCAACAATGCTAGTGATGACGACCCCAAAGGCTGTCCTGCAATCGTGGGTGTAATTCACATCTATCTTCCAGGCTAGGGCTGCCCTTCATACAGAGGTTGGACTTCATACGCAACTGAGTATCATTGGCCAGTTATCTCCAACGTGAACAGACCAACCACTGTTCCTTGACCTTGAGACGTTTAACTACTGAAGCAAACCTGTCCGGCAGAACAGAGACAGCCTTGTGACTCATCAGGTTCCTCCTTTTCAAGCTCGATGTCACACTGCTCAGACTAAACACTCATTAAATTGAATGAGTTCAGTGAAAAAGTACAAATCTAACACTAGTAAAAGTAAAACACAATTATAAAAGCTCCAAACCACTTTCCCTGGATCCTGAAATTCTGATGTACCCTCTGTACTTGCAAGCTGCAGAATTGTCCAATAAGAGTTTGTTTGTCAGTATACTAGGCTGTTCTGTTGTTTGGGTATGGGTCTCACTTTTTGTTCACCAGACGACACTAAAAGAGTGTATGTCAAGGAATTTTTGGGGGTGAAATGTGGGAGGAGCAGAGGTAGGGTGGGGGGGTTCAGCGTGGCATCCTTAGATTTAGTGCATTAGACAAATAAGGCTTCCCTTCGAGGGACAGATGCAGCAACAGGGGGCAAGAAGAAAAGGTAGAAAAAGGACAATCAGGGCACACAGCAGCAGCGGTTGTAGACGTGCCCCCACCCTAAACATAATAACACAACAATATGTTATTTGGTGTATGCCAGAATCTCTTCCCATGCCTGGAGTGCAAACGCTCTTAGTATGGAATCAAACCTCCAAACTTGGCAGCATTAGCTTCATGTCCTACAAAACTGGCCTTTTTAGGACCATGATTTGATTTGATTTGATTGATTTTCACAATATCTCTTCAGGGTGCAGCAGCAGTGTAGGTAACATGCAAAGAGCGCGACTCTTAACACCAGCTACATGCATAAAATACTGAAAGAGGGAGCTTCATTCAGACTCGTTTAGACCAGGATTTGGGCAAAATTATAAGGAGAGAAGTAAAAGCTCAGATGGCAAATCAGAAGAGCAATGGCAGACACCCTGAGGTGATACAGGAGCTAATGGATTGTCAGGCCATGAACAGATTGCTCTTTGAAATCCTGACTGAAAACCAATCCAAGCTCTATCACCCTGACTCTGAGTGGCGGCTCCCCACTGGCACGTTTGATGGATCTCAAGAGCAGGTGGAGGTGGCAGATGGATTGAGGAAGAGTTGGGCAGGAAGAGTAAAGGAGAGGTGGAAGTAGAAGATGAAAAAATATAATTTAAAGAGGAGAGGGGAAGAGATAGAAGAGGAGGGAGTAAAGATCAGTTCACTCAGTAATACATCTACCACAAAAATCTACCGTAGTTAGGGACTGTGAGAAAGTTATCGCCTGTTGTTAGAGGGAGTTTACTAGAGAAGTCAAATTTTTCAACCGTTAAAAAAACTAAACAACCTAATAGAAAAATATTGAAAGTCAACTGCATAAACATGTTATTAAAGAATATAAAGAGCTAACAACACTGTACAAAACACAGAAATGGATTCATCGATTCGTGGACTTCATGAAACAAAATGTTCTGTGAATTGTTTGTGAACTAAGATAAACTTGTTTATGTTTGGTGAAATATTTTTTGCAAGTATTGTAATTTTTGGTTCTTTTTTGCGCTTTGTTAATTATTTGCTGATTTCATGAAATGTTTGACAGTCAAAAGACTGCAAGATGAAAAGCGACAAGATGCGCAAAGACTGCTTTGTTCACAGGGGGCGCCAAAGTTGACACAAAATGAAAGTTGCTCACAGGAGCTTTAAGCGAAATGTTTTTGTTTCCTATAAAGTTTGTGCAGTTGAACTTGAGGGCCTATAAAGATTCCTAAAAATACTTTTTAGAGTTTTTCTTTGTTTTTTTTACCCATGTTAGGGTCCTTTATTATCCCTTAATGATAACTAAATAATTGAAATAAAATATACTTAGGTGAGAAATCAACATGGCTCTGAACCAGCCTAAAAAAAACGAACGTCTTTTATTTAAAGTTTTTTAACAGCGCTTCGATCAGAACTTTCTGACAGTCCCTTATTTGATTTCCTCGTTAAGTAGAGATACTTTCTCTGGAGAAAATCAATTCCTACAACTTTTAAATTCGGTGTAAACAGCAAAACTGCATTAACAGAGCATTAGGCTCATGGGAAAGACTTAACAGAAAACATGACATTTATAATGGACACCCTGCTGGTTGTCAATTTGGATTCAGCCTGTTCTCCTCCCCTCTCTTACATCTTTAAGTCCCCCCTCTTCTTAGGAGCTGAAAAGCGTTTGTTATATTGCACCAAGAGCTGCTTTGTTGCAGGTGGAATTGATTTTAAGCTTCATGCTGGGAAAAAGGAGTGGGAAGAACAAATACCTACACGAACACAGAAAAACAAGCGGCAGGAGAAAACACTTTATATCTACACACACAGAGAGACATGAGAATCCATGTAAAAAGGTGGAGTTTGATTGCACTTACACCCTCACGCATACACAGGCAAAAAATAAAAGTAGAAAACAGACATAACCAGAAACTCACACACAGTAGATGAAGGCACTATTGCAAGCAAAGTCCAAGAACTATTTGTGACAGAAAACATCAACACCCTACTCCAAATCCAGTCCTGAATCCCTTGGGCTAGATGGTAGGGGGTCAGGGACAGACAGAACTCGAGAGGCAGACACAGAGCTGACTTCTAACGAAAGTGAAGCTGATTTCCAGTTAGAAAGTCACACATTTATTGGAAATAGCTCTCATCTAACTTCCCCGTCCGTCTAGTTGAAACAGGAAGGAAAGTGCTGAGTCATCGCCCCATGCTCGCTACCTTCTCCTCCCCTCGCGTCCCACAAATTGTTTCATATTAACGGTAAAGTGGTTACTCAATGCATTATGTTTCATAGTTCACAGTGTAGTGTGACACATTTGACTCTATCTCTTGCATTGTCTGCACCTTTCTATCTGGCTTTTTTCTCTGTGTGGGATGTGGACTCCGGTAAGTGAATAAGAAGTGACAGAAACTCACGGCCTTGAGGTCCACATGAGCTGTGTGAGCAGAACGGCCAAACGTGGTGCAGTGAGGTCAACGTAAAACCCATTCCACTGCCAAGAAACTATCTAGCCCAAGGGTTGGAGACAATTACAAATACACACACTCACATGCAGGCATGCACACACACACGCACGCACACACACACACACACATAATCACTCACACGGCTGGTCCCCTCCCTTCCCCCAGGCAGCAGACAAGGCAGTACATTCAAGTGAACAGAGTCAGTCCCTTCAGAGATCCATCGGATCCTCCTCTGCGAGGCCGTGTTTGGCAATGGTCCTGCCTCCACTTTTAGATGGCGACCCGTCGCTTTCGGGTTTTGCCACGGGGGGCGGCGACAGCCCCGATCCCCCCTCAGGCGCAGCCCAGTTGTCAGTGGTAGGCGGGTAGAAATCGTCGTCAAAGCCGCAGAAGCCTTCGTCCACACCTTGATCGTAGCGCTGGTAGGTGGAGGCGTGCACCTCGTTCTCTCTGGCCGTGATCTCCAGCGTGCTGTTCCACATGCCGTAGCCAAAGTAGATCAGCACACCTGGACAGGGAAACAGACAGATATCAAAATACACCTGCAGATGGTGTGTGAGACATTACAGGTTTATGAACTGCAGCGTGAAACGGTGGTGGTCACTCACCCACGAGGCACCAGATTGAAAACCGGATCCAAGTGATGGCTGACAGTTTGAGCATGAGGTAGATGTTGACCAGCATGGCTGAAGCAGGAACGAAGGGAACGCAGGGCGCCATGTAGGGCAGCCGCTTCGGGTTCTCGGGCTGCTGTATGATGATGATGATGAGCAGGGCGATGAAGATGATGAAGAAGATTAGAAGCAGCAAAGCCCACCAGCTTCCTTCGCTGATACTGCCCAATCCTGGAAGACAAATTGATAAAGAGGAATCAAAATACGTTTGCAGGATTTGTTCACTCACTGTCTGAGTTCAGTTGATGCTTCTCACCGAAAATGATGAAGGAGCAGAAAGCAAAGATGGAGATGAAGAGCAGAAGCACACACACAGTGACGGTTTTCCCTGTGGCGGCCGTTGGTCTGTCCATCTTTCCCGGGAGGCCCAATCGAATCCTTAAGGTGTAATAGCGCGGTCCAATGAGCTTCTTCAACCGCCGGGACACACCGCCCTCCGTCTCCTCCGCTTCGATGCCTGTGGTCATATCCACTGTGCCATAGTTTGGGTGGCTGGCAGTGTAGGCGTTTTTATCCGGTTTACCTATCAACATCTCGTTGTCCCCCAGTGACGGCAGGTTTTTGGCTCCACACGTGTTCGTGGCTGGTCCTCCGTACTCGTCTCCCTCACTGGTTGGGGAACAGGCGTCTTTCTCGCACTCGGCCAGAACGCCTTCTTTTTTCTTGTTGTTTTGCTCCTCAGACAGGAAGTTCACAAAGCCGTGAATGTCGCCCTCAGGTTGGTAACGCAGCAGTAGTACACAGAGGCTGACCTGCAAATAAAGGGAGTTAAGTTTCATAGCATGAGATACACAGATGGGTAACAGCCTGATCACTTCACTGATGACTCCTCTGTAAACTAAAGACCGGTACCAGCTGGATTTTTGTGTCACCTGGAACTGAAACTTTGGGCTCCATGAAGGCTGGAAACGCAATCGGTTAAAGGGATATTCCGGCGTAAAATTAATTTAGGGTCAAACACACCATAACACCGAGTTAGACATGCCATCAAGAGATGTATGTTGCCGACTGCTTCTCTAGTTTTACCAACTTTAGTAACGACCGCATGATAGCAACACACAGCGGTCTGAGGAGCCATAAACAAACCTCAACCAAAACACCACTCTATAGACACAGATAATGCTCAGAACAGCACCTAACTTCATCAACAAGAGACTAAACATTTCTTCAACTCACCTACTCTCTTCCAGCAGCCGCTTGTTTGTAGTGACACCTCAGGCGAGTCCATTACTGAATACAGCGGGGTGACGCAGCTCAAGGAAGAACATTTATGATAATTTCTTTATCATTTCCTTGAAGGTAATAATCACCATATTAATCATTTTGGACTGCAGATGCGATAGTTCTTCTGCCTTAGCGTCTCGGTCTGACTGCATTTCCATGAAGAAATGATCATAAATTAAATTAATTTTATGCCGGAATATCCCTTTAACTTCAGCTAATATAACAGTAACTAACAGTTAATAACTATAATCAGGGGCTAATGGATTACCTTGGATGTTTCGTGCAAAGACATTATTTTGAGGTCTCTTTGTAACAACAAAGCTGTGTGAAAAGTTACACCCACAAGAGCTGTGTTTAACTTTAGATCACCGTTAAAGCAGCCGAAATGAAGCATTTCAGACTGAGGCTGAAATGAGGGTTTTACTTCTGCTAAAAGTAGCAGTCTTGATGGCTGCTTTGTTTTTCAGTGTTGGCATTAAAGAAGTATTTGAGGTTGTTCCAAACTCAAAGATAAACAGATGAAGACACGTTATTGGAGTAAAAATATTCAACTACAACTATTGTAGCTTTCTGTGTGCATGGCTGCTACTCATATGACGCAGTGTTTTAAACGGTTATGAACAACTAGCTACTTCTCTAGAAAAATCGTTAATTGAGTTTAGGATTTATATAAGTTGTTGGTCACGTAATAGACGACTCTAACCGTCCATTTTGAGAGTATTCGTCTATCTCTGAACTCTTCAGAAACGCTATCAGAGCTCGATGCTGCAGCCCTCCTCCTCTGCATAAAGAAAGTTGATTTCGCTCGAGCGTTCTGTTTATGTACGTACAGCTACAACATAATTCTGTATGATTCCAGTGCTGGAAGGATTAGCGCTGTCTATCCGGCAGATTCCTTCTGGCTGTGTGCAGTAATTGAAAGCTCCTTTGACTCTTTCACAAATCTCACATTAACATAACTTTGCAAGTAAATTAAATTCCTCGACAAACTTTAAGGGAAGAAATTAGAGGACTAAGCACAAAACTCTTGAATAAAAAACGGGTTCTGTCACGACAGATTGCATTGTGTGTCCACTGGCATGTCGACACTGATAAGTGCCGGAAGTAAATCGCTGTGATGCAGAGAGCTGAATTAGTGAGTCAGCTCTGCCCTGCGACTATCCATATGGCCTTTATGGACCTGGAGAGCATCATTATCTGCCACTCACCAGGGTATAGGCCAGCAGGGTTCCTATGGACATCATTTCTATGAGGTCCCTGAGGCTGACCAGGAGAGAGAGCAGGGCAGCCAGAAAGCCTGAAACCACACAGGCGATAGCAGGGGTCTCTGTGTAGGTAGAAACGTTGGCAAGGAACCTGAAGAGAAGAGTATATCAGGATTTATGAAACTCGCCGATTCGATTTAAAAATAAACAGTCCTGAGTCGGCGTATGGACGTACTTAAACAGGAGGCCGTCTCCTGCCATGGCGTAGATGACTCTCGGCATGGGGAAGAGGGACCCCAGGAGGGACACGGTCAGTCCTGCTATAGAGCCCACTGCCACGATGTACTTAGCAAACATACAGCCGTGCATGGCGAACATCTCCATGAGCGGTGCATCAGCGTCAATCTCGTTGTACGGTACCATCAGGGTCAGGATGACAGAAACCTGAAAAGAGTCGATACAAACAGATCGTCAGTAAAGACACGCTGAACAGGGAAAAGTGTTCAAGAGTTTGGACTCACTGATACGTGTACCTTCAGTTTTCTTATGTTTCCACTCAGAGTTATTTTCATTTTTTTTTAACTTAAATTTTATTTGCATCAAAACATGATGTCATTCACGGAGAAGAAAAGAAGATTGTCCATGAAGACTCCATCAAAGTTGTCCATTTTTTAATGTAATGTGAATAGGTTTATATCTGACTCATTTTTCCGACTTTTGAGTGTTTGTTTCTCGCTGGAATCATAACGCATGTGTTAGTTTCTCCACTGCATATAGTTCTTCCACCGTGTCCAGACAGTTTTCTGATTGAGTGGATTCTCCTTACACCTATTCCCCGTGATGACCTTCTTTGATGCTGAGAGAAGTATTTTAGTTCAGTATCTGTCTCTAGTTTGTATGTTTTCCTGTGTAAGATTGCCCAGGTACATCACGTCAAAGGTCATGGGGAGCTTGTAACCCAATATTTTTCTTATTCCTTTGCTTATTTCCTCCCAGAGTTATTTTTATGACCAATTTTGAGTGCTGACTCAACAAGTGCTTTATGGTTATCAATGTTGAAAAATCAAGAATTCACGTGAAGGTAATCTTACATAAGTGAAACTGCTAGAGCAGCTACTCAGTGACCTTTATGGTCTGTTTACTGGACTGACATCTGATCTGAAACTCTCAGATAAGAAGCTGAAGAACAGCCTCTAAACAGACTTCATGGTGAGGCTGTGATTTTTTTTCCCAAACTCATCAGAAAAACTTGACAGACGTTATAATTATTTATAAAGTCCTGAGCTCCAGTCACTCAGCCCAGCTCTGCAGAAAGTGCCTTTAGCGCTCTGCATATCACATCACACACAGGATGTTCATTAGTCATGCTACTCCATCACTGTGTGTCTGTGTACGCACGTGCGTGTGTTAATTTGTGCACGGTTTTGAACCTCGTGTCTGACGTGTGAAATCATGCAGGGCCATCTGTCAGCGAGACTGTGCTGCAGAGCCGAGGGATTTGCATGAACAGATTGCAAAGTCGGAGGAATGATAAAAAGACTAACCCTCACAGAGGGGACGTACAGGGATCAGTTTCCTTTATGACCTTTAACCCTGAAATCAATCTGGTCGCAGGATGGTTCACGGTGTTTGTGGATCAGTCAAAAGAGTCAGCTGATGCCGAGGGAATCCTGAAGTTGATCCTGATTAAAATAATGACTCTATTTCAGCTCAGTGTGAGCGAGTTCAGAGTTTGGACCGCCGTACGAGTCCCCTCTGAGAAAAGGGGTTTCCCCAGAGCTTCTTTAAATGATTCCCTTCTTCTCTGCTGTGTTTAGTGTTTATTTCCTCGACTGCAGAGCTTGAGAATGAGGTATTATAGAAGAGGAAAAAATCTCTGGATATATAAACTCAATGAGAAATAAAGATCTGACATGTAACATCTTGAATTAATAAACAGATTCAGCAGGCAGAGAAGATCCAGATGGGACAAAAAGTTATCAAAAGATGCTCCCAGAGTGAGATAAATCATATGAAGTTCAAAGACAGGCTTAAAAAGTCGAGTTTGTAACACGAGAGGCGTGATGTGAGGAAACAGACGCAGCTGGGAGACATAGAAAGAGGAGTTATTCTCAGACAAGTAGCAGAGATTTGAAGTTGATGCAATCTTTGGCCCCCAGGCGATGCTTAAAAATTCTCCCGTCTGATTGGCTACCATAGCACTGTACCCATAGCAACAACCATCCAGAACAAACGTGTTAAAGTAAAGCGTCTGGTAGGCTGTGCAAGCTGAATACGTAAAGATCAGGGATGAGGTAGAAAACACACCGGCGCAGAGGGAAGCGTGTTTGATCTCTCTATCCTTCTGTCGGCGAGTTTAGGGAAACACTTTCAGGTAGAACCAAAAACAAGTCTTTATTACCCCTCATGATTAAAGGATCAGCTGTTTATACAGCGTGTTCGTGGTGTTGGCGGAGACTCACAGAGACATACGCCGTGAGGCAGGTGATGAGTGACGCAGTGATGGCGTAAGGGATGGAGGTGTTTGGACTCTTGGCCTCCTCTCCTGTTGTGGCAATGATGTCAAATCCAATAAAGGCGTAGAAACAGGTGGCTGCTCCCTGCATCACCTGAAATACAATGAAGGAAATAGATGATACAGATAGTTGACCACTTCCCCTGCCTCCGAAAAAACTTCTGTATTATATGTTACTTGTGACTAAATCAAAAATAGTGAACTAGTCCTTTTTTCATAGGGAATCTCTAACATATCCATACATGTGAAGTAAAATAGTTCAAGCAGTTTTAAATAGACTTTTTATTACATTGATAGTTATAGACGGGTTTCTGTGCGTCGTCATCGCAGGTATGCGCATGTAGCCAGGGGGCAGAAAGCGGGACATTTCTAATTCGTTTACTAGCGAAGTCAACGGAGAAAGAAACTGACAAGGAGCTGTTGTGTGTGTATTTCTCTGTGTGGACATACCCCTCCCCAGCCAAAGGGCAGGAATCTCCCCTCGTCCCAGTTTTCTCCGTTGACGAAGAACAGCCCTGCGATCATCATGAACACCCACACGATGAGGTTGATGACATTTAGCACGTTATTGAAGCCCACTGAGTTCTTCACTCCCAGAGCCACTATCACCGTCACCAGCAGGGCTATCAGCAGAGCCAGCAGGTCCGGGTACGACTGCTCCCCTTTACCTTTGAGATAAAACACATCAGGGTTGAGACTTCCATGCATTTTTCATGATGTTGCTGCGAAAAACCGTCTCCGTCAGATCACAGATGTTAAGTTTTAAAAGATAGAAATCAAGGGAAAACTGCCAATTTTTTATTTGAGTAAAAAGAAACAACAAATATTTGTCCATTTTGTCTGATTAGTGCCTAATTTATCTGCGATTCAATCTAAGAGATGTCTATTTATAGTTACCATAGTAACAAAGAGAAACACCCTCAGTTTAGCTGGACAAATCAGGTCGAAAACATTCATTATTTTTGTTGGGCGTCTTGGTTCAGTTTGAGTTTACATGCAGATATTTGGGGTGTGTTGAGATTATATCTAGAGCCTCCAGTCAGAGTCTGAGAGTGGACGCTGGGAAAGTGGAGAGCTGAGATAGTGACAGAGCAGAGGCAGAGATTGATAACCTGTCGGTTTAGGTTGGGAAGGGTATCTTGCCAGGTGATTGCGAGTTGATGTATGTCTGATGTGCGGTGCAGCTACAGCAGCCTGTCCGAACTAGCTCCCAGGTGGTGCTCCATTTGTTGTCAGTATGTTTTGTGTCTACGGGGTGCAACTCTGCATAGCTGTAAAATCGTTTGTTGTCTGGGCCATTAATTAGGTTAATGGGTTGAATAATCAGCACTGGGCACACGTCCCTTAATGTATTGGTAGTAAATTATTGGCATTGCTCTTTGTATTACCTTCTAACATGAGTGTTCATTTAGAAAAATAAACAAATATTGGAAATTTTGACTTCTTTTTTACCCATTTTTCTTCAGCATTGTCAATTTTGTGTTGCTTAACTTCACCACAGAAATTCAGCACAATGACAGCAGATCTGAACGCTCCACAGTGAGGCTGTTTAACCTGAGAAAGACAGGTCCATTGATTTAAGTTTAACATTAACTTCCATTCACTTTGAACAGAATTACCAGGTTGACTGTCGTAAAGGTTAAAGTCTTTATCCATAGATAAACAGGAAACAGAGTGAAATGTGGGATTAATTGTGGCCATCTCTGTGAAAAACAATAACAGCAATAATAACAGTTTGAATTATAAAACACCCGAGCCTGCGATCCAGAGATATGGTGTTGTAAATAGCTGCAGGAAGAGAGCCCCAGAAGGTGGAAGCTGCCACACTGAAAGCCCTCCCCTCCTGAAAGTTTGGAGTTCAGTGCTGGGGATGTGGGTCTGACACATGCCTGAGGGTTGTGGCTTCTGGGGCTCAGTGGGGGAGTGGAGGAGGATTTTGTTTTGGGAGCCAGTGAGAGTGGACGAGGGTGGAGGTGATGTACTGCTGGGGCTTGGTGCTAGTCAAAACCTTGGCAGCTGAGTTTTTAAGCCTTCTTTTTTTCTTTGAGCTTGGACCTCTCGTCTTAGGATTCGCTGAATAAAAATGTTGCACAGAGGATGTTACATTTGAGAATAACTCTTGTGATATCTTCTCTGACCTCTATACTCAGCTGTGAATGTTGGAGCCAGAATTTACAAAAGAACTGCAGCAGAGCACCGACGTGCTTACTGCTCATCTGCAATGCACTCTACATGAAAGCACTGCAGGCACAGCTCGACAAAGAGAGCTCAGCTCTCTGGGTTAACATCGCATGCAATGAGGAGAGTTGTGTTTTAACTGAACTACATTTTTGATCGGGGCTGATTTGATCCTCAGTGAAACCTGGTGAATACTAGTGATAACTGCTGGGTAATTGGGGTTAAACGTATTAATCTTCCGCATGATTTATGAGCGGTATCACAGCCTTCAAATCAGGCAGCCAGAATTCGGGTCTGGCTTATGGCCTTTGAGACGATATGATACGCTATGATACAATACAATACGATACGATACAATACGATATAAGATACAATACGATACGATATAAGATACGATACGATACGATACGATAGATACGATACGATACGATATAAGATACGATACGATACGATACGATACGATACAATACGATATGATACGATACTATATAAGATACAATACGATACGATATAATATACGATACGATATGATACGATACAATACGATACGATACGATACAATATGATACAATACAATACGATACGATATAAGATACGATACAATACGATACGATACAATACGATACGATACGATACTATATAAGATACAATACGATACTGTATAAGATACGATACGATATGATACTATATAAGATACGATACGATCAATACGATACGATACTATATAAGATACAATTGGATACGTTACTATATAAGATATGATACAATACGATATACAATATGATACAATATATGATAAGATATGATACAATATATGATACAATATGACATAATACAATAGAATATGACACGATACATTTTACGATCCGATATACAATACGATAAATGATACGATACGATATACGATAAATTTGCCACTCAACTCTCTATCTCCTCAGTTTCCAGCTCTATCCACCGTCCTATCTTTTTTACTGCACAAAGTCAGCTGCAAACTAGTCACTGAGATTTTTGATTTGGCTAACGCAACAATTTTTTAATAGTAAGTAAGTTGTTCTTTCTGTTAAGTAAACTTTAAGCCCAACTAAGTAGACCATTAATCAAAATTATTATTTCATGGTATCAGCCTGCTTGAGGAATAATTGAAGTCTGCCATGATGGAGTGACTCAGCGCTGTGAGTATGCTGGGACATTTAGTTGAACGTTCTTTATTAACATCTGGATAATTACGGCACTTCTACTTAATATCTTTCCTAATGTGGACTATTTTCTTCAAGCACCTTAAGGGGTTTTCTGAGATTTGGTAATTTGTCTGAGCAGTGCCAATGCTTTTCTCCTCTACACTCCCAAACTCAATCTCTGTATGTGCACGTACATATATAATCACACAGAGAATACATCGACTACATCCAGGTTAACCCCACATTTTCCCTTTCCTGTATAGAAACAGCTGTTTTCCACTGGCAGGAAAGGAAACATTTATTTCCGTTATGTTGTGAACCATCTGGACATGTGGTTATCATGTGACCATTGCCACCCTGTTCTACAGGAAGAGGCTGTCAGGGCGGTGTCATCTAGATACACACAGCTGGCACACACAGCAGATATAGCGTTACGCCAGATAATGTGGAATTCCCCTTTTTTTCACTGGTTTTGTCATAGAAAAGTGTGGGATGTGATTTTGTAAGAAACTGAAGACATTAGTGTGGCTGGTAACTTTTCCAAGATAAAGAAACATCACTCATCTGCTCCCTGGAAATTATCTGATGTTGGTTGGGTGATTTCCCAGTTGGTGTAATGTTCCTTTATTATCAGTATTTCAAATATTTACTGTCATTGAAGAAGAGCAGCTCACTGAGTTGGTGTCATTATGTCATCTAGAGGATACAGATGACATTTTGTTTCAGCTGAGAGGATAATTCATGATACCGAGGGAAGGATAACATATGCTGCTGTGCAGACTGCCAGACGAAGGCAAGGATGGGGTAAATTAAATCTGCTTCTGTGGACGGACAGATTTGTCATTCAGTCTTGAGGAACTCTGGTTGAAGCCCCAAAGCTCAAAGTAACGGATGGAAATCTACAGTGAGACAAGATAAGATCCGTCTGACCCTCTCACTCAGGTTATAATGGCAAAAGAGAGTGTTTATCCTCAGAGGGACTTGACTGAGTGTGGGTAAAGTGCTTTGTCATCAGTCCTGTCGCTATACCATGGAATGTGATACAATACAATATCAAATAATAGAATACGATTCGATTGGATGTGATCCGATACCATACCATACACCATGAAGGTGGGGTAGGAAGGAATCTGTTAAAGAAGCATCTTTTTTTGTCGTGTAAATACAAAAAAGCTTTGAATATCAGTCAATAGCTATTAGTTATTGATGACATTTGGTAATATAACGATATTGCTGTGTTTTGTTATGTCTGTTTAGTCAACATTTCAAATTTTTTAAGCGGCCCGCTCTTTCTGACTGTAAACAAAGCTGTTCTCAGCCAGACTCAGACTGGTTGTGAGGCGGACCCTGCTCCTTAGTGCTGATTGGCACGCTCAACGTACCTGAATAATGTTCACGAGCCCAAACAAAGTTAGCTTGGTACAACATCGGACAGTAGAAACCAACCAGAAAGTACAGAAAACACAAGTAATAAAACAAAGTAAATGCCGGAGACTCTGGCAGGATACCGGCACTTAAAATGGAGGTAGACCAGACAAGAGCTAAAAAGCCGGGTCAACATCGGTGAACGCTTCGGGATCTTACGGACCCTGTAACCTTTCTGCTGGACAAAACAGCTTCAACAAAGTAAACCAAGTGTCTGTAACAGAAGTGATTCTTGTCAAATGGGACCTGCTGTGTGTTTGAGCGCTGCTAAACTGTTGATCCGGGTCCTGGACTATGTTACTTTAGTCCGGCAAACATTGTGTTTGCTGGTAGTCTGTTGGCATCTACAGTAGCACCAATGCTTTTGACTTTCACCTTGACTGGGCCCCATTTGTAATAACCTGAAGTATTTATCTGCATTATATCTGAATTTAATTGGAACGATACGAGCAAGCAGGAGCGTCTGTTTGTGGGCGGGGCTTGCTGGAGCAGAGAGGGAGGGGAGAGGAGGAGCTGAGGGGAAAACTGGTTGGGAGGGGTAGAGTTTACTTTCAAGATTTCTCCCAAAAACTGGCACTTCCTCAGATCCTGCCTACCCTGCCTTTAATGTCCCCTTCATTTCAAAATCAAAAGGTAGAACAACTTTGTTTTAACCTTTATAGCTTACCTGCAGTACTGGCAACAACCACCAGGGGGCCATATTTATAACTTGGGTTAAGACTGCTTTTAGCTATTTCAGCAACAAATCACAACTAGTAGAAAAACCCATCCATCCCTCTCCACTCACCCAGTCCGTTGAGCGTCCCGATGTGTGTTGTCATAAAGTTGCTAATGCTGTGATTGGCCAGCGAGTCCGCCATGCTGCTGAGAGCCGACGCCCCGGCCGCTGTGCCGATCAGATACTCCAGGATTAAGTTCCAGCCGATGAAAAACGCCACGCACTCGCCCACCGTCACGTAGCTGTACGTGTAGGCTGAACCTGTGGTCTTAGGCACCCGCACGCCAAACTCGGCATAACACACTCCTGTAGCACAGAGACACACATTCACCAGTCATGTTACTGTGTTACAATCTTACAGGAAGGCTGAGGTGCAGGATTTGATATCGGCTTCAAGCTCGTGCTAAGATATCCCTGACTGCCTTTGATATTATAGCTCTGCCCGTTTGATGTCTTTGCCCTTGTTATAATTGCACAGTTATTAAAAGGCTCTTCATATAAATCTTATCAGTGTCATGGTGATAAGGATGCCTGTAACCTTTATAGTGTGGCCTATAGTGTGTTATTTTCAGCCCAGTGAGAGAGAAAGAGACACTGGGGGAGTTAAAAGGCAGAAAAAAAGAGTCTCACCTGACAGAATGGAGGCCACAGCGGCGATTATAAAGGACACGATGACCCCCGGACCGGCCATTTCCTTAGCAACCAGCCCAGACACCACGTACATTCCAGTCCCGACACAGCTGCCCACACCCAGAGAAACCAGGTCCACAGTAGATAAAACCCGGGCCAGCCTGGTCCCATGGGAGCTGGTGCCTGTCATGGCTGAATCCAACATAGACTCCACCGGTTTGGTCCTCAGGACCCGGGAGGTAAACGTGTTCCACGCTGATCTCCATTGTATCCTCCGAGGGTCCAGCTTCCCTGCTAGGCCGCTCATACTGAGGGCTTAAAGGTCAAAGGTCAGAGTCAAAGGGAAGAGATCCAAAAACACTTTTACTTTAGCTTGAATAAACAAAGTAAAAGAGGAGTTTTTCCTTATCCAAGAAGATGCAGAAAAAAGTTCGAGGTCTTGTTTAGTGTTTGCCTTGAGACTTGCTCGTCCTGGTTCAGTGGAACACCTCTTTAGTTTTTCCCCACATGGTGAGAGAGACAGTCATCTGAAAAACAAAGATGGAACGATTAATTTCAGCAGCATTTCACTGAACACTACCCTCCATCATGTTCCTGAAACACTTATTTTTGAGTCTCCATGCCAGGACACTTGAGCTCAACAGTAAAGATACATTACACATTTACCCGCTAATGAAGCGGACCTGAATAAAGAGGCAGCAAATTAGAAATGATCTCCCCGTTGCTATAGCAGTCACATAAGCGGCAATGGTGGATTCTTTTTTTACAGGGCTTTTTATGCCTTTATAGAGAGGACAGTGGAGTTAAACACAAGGAAGAGAGAGAAGGGGGATTACATGGTGTGATGGTGGCATCGAATGTAAAATAAAATGAGCGTACGTTTTTAATAGAATACATTTTCTTTGTTTAAGTTCCCATATATTGTCACTGCTTGATTTTCATCCAAACAGGGTTAACATGTTTTGCAAACCATCAAATTCTTTTTTTTTTTTATTATGTAGTTTTTATGCATCTGAACTGTAATTATGTCCAATACGTTTGTTCAAGCATAGAAAACATTAAATTTAAGATAAAAAAGACACGAATTAATCCCTTAAAATAGTATTTTGATAAAATATTATATTATATTAATAATCACATCCTGGTCAAAAAAAGGTACAAACTTGAAACAATAATATAACTGTACATGTAAGTTATTATTTGTGTAAAATTAACCTGAAAAAATAATACAAAGCTTTTATATTAGAGTAAAAATATTATGCATGAAGCAGGTTGCCTCTTTATTCATTATTATAAAAGCTCTTATCACTGCCTGTTTCTCAGTGATCCCATTCAACAGCTGGTGAGCTATTGATTAATAACCTTCCAATAACCTCCTTATGAACGCTAATTAATATGTTCAAATTAATAATAATAATAATTTTAATCTAGAGTTGTAAGGACTTAAATCACACTTGTATGTGTTGTTACACAGGAAAGGACTTTATGTGTCTGTGTTATGATTATTTGCCCTTATTCATTAAAGCATTTAAAGGTAGTAATTAATGTACAACAACTTCCTTATCTGCAGTTAATAAGCAGTAATTAGGAGGTTAATGAGGGAAAACCCAACATAACTGTCTCCTGTTGTAGATGTTAATAAGGACATTTTAATCAATAATGAAGAGTTAACTTGCCCTTAAAAGCAATTAAATAACAGTTTACCCGAATAAAAGGGGTTACTAAGTTTCTATACTGTGTGATCATTTTATCGAAAGCTCATTTCAGGAGTTTGCATCCGTTATTGAGCTAATTAAACCTTGATAATGTTGCACTCTTACTTTTTAGATTGATCCTAAAATTGTCCTTTGTGCTGAATGAATGTCATGAAGACAAAGAAAGGTTGAATCTGTAAATCTAAACCTTTTGTTTGTTAGATAAATGAGCACACTGTCGACACGCAGCAATCAGAGAGACGAATAAAATGAGTGGAGTTTAAGCGCAGGATAATTACAACAATCTTCTTGAAACAATGACAGAGTTTGAGCATCAGAAATCTACTTTTCTACAGCTCTTCAACAACAACAACTACTCTGGTGTCATTCATGAGGCAGGTGAAAGGAAAGCTATTATTGTCCTCCATTGAAGTGCATCCCTCCTCCCTTTCTCTCTCCCTTAACAGCAGTGGACTAACACTCACCATTCATCCACTTTTAACAACAAGCTCGAGTTACTAAACAAATACACGCTCACACACAGCGCACCCACAATGCCTCTCAGCTATAATATGAGCCACTCACACAGATGATGGCTGCAATTACCCGCCTGTTTAACCAGAGGACGCAGGGCTGCTATTGTAGCTGCACTTAGAGTGAGTATGAGCATGTGGAGAGGAAGAAAACGCTCCAAAGGTGACTCCATTTGCGTGCGACAGCGAATGTGTAAAGAGGTAAAGGTTTTAAACTCATTGCAGAGCTGACTCACAGGTTTCTTGATTATACTGTTACAAACTTGAAGTCACACTTTATGGCAAAAATGAGGAGGTTAAGACAATGTCAGAGGAAGTTGGCAGTAGCAAGGTCTAACAGATTGATTTTAAACACCAACTGCTTTCTTTTCTATGTGCTTTATACAACTCCTTGTCGTGCACACATGGCTTTCCTATATCATAATGCTGAGACTTGTATTTGAAATGTACATTGAGGACAAACCAAGTGGTCTTTCTTCTCGTTAGAGTATCCATGATTTCCTAAAAGGTTCGGGGCCGAGTGTGAAGCAGCTGGGTCCTCAGCCGGAAAAAGGTAGATTGCCATCTCCGGGTTGGAGGGGAGGTCTTGCCTCAAGTGGAGGATAACCGAAAGAACAAGATCGCGGATACAAGCGGCTGAAATGGGTTTCCTCCTCAGGGTGTCCGGGCTCAGCCTTAGAGATAGGGGAAGGAGCTCGGACACTCAGGAGGCGCTCAGAGGAGAACCCCTGCTCCTCCATGTCGAGAGGAGTCAGCTGAGGTGGCTCGGGCATCTGTTAGGATGCCCTCTGGACACCTCCTGTTAGAGGAGTTCCAGACAGGTCCCACCAGGAGGGGACCTCATGGCCGGCCCAGGACCAGGTGGAGGGATTGTATCTCTCGCCTGGCCTGGGAGCGCCTGGGAATCCCCCCAAGAGGAGCTGGTGGAAGTGGCTGGGGTGAGGTTCGTCTTGGTTTACCTCCTGAAGCTGCTGCCCTCGCGACGGTCAAATTTTGATTTGTCAGATCACAGAACTGTTTTACACTTTACCTCAGTCCCTCTTAAATGGACTCATACTCACAGAAGACACGGGCGATGGACTGCAGCCAAAGTCCACCACGTTACCCTACTTAACCCTCCTGCTCTAAAATTGGTGTTATTAGCTCCACTTAGACTTTCGCTGTAACTCTACCTTTTCAAAAAGCAGTTTGCTCTGACATGTTTTATCTCTTATAACTCAAATAATCACCTGCATCACACTGGATAGCTATACGAACGCTGATATAAACACACAGGGATAAATTATAATCTGCAAACATTTAATGTGCCAAAAAGGCGCAGACACATGCACCTGTTATTGTGTTTTGTTGAGGGACAAGATGAAGAGACTATTAGGACTGAGCAGCAGACTGAAAACCAGTAAATCTGTTTTTCATTAGAGCACCAAGCTTTGATCCGCAGGTCAGACTCTGTCAATAAATGTATGAGTGTGTGTGGAATAAAAAGATGGATCTGAGCCGCTTAAATGAGATGGTCTGATAACCGCGAACAGATCCAATAAAAAAAAAAGAAACTTTCAAAAGTGGCAGGTTGGGACAAAAATGAGCTGTTTAAGACTTATGGGTTTATTGGACATGTTTAAAGTGCAGCATAAAAACACACCAAAAAGCCTGTCATTTTTTGACGCAACAAATTAAATCGCATTTATATTCAGTGGCCAGTTTCAGCAGTCAGTGAACACCTGCCTTGTTCAGAGCATGAGCTATTTAAACAGTAAAAGATGGACAAAGCTGCAAAACAACCCCGAGGCAGCAGGTGTGCAATCTGCTCTGTGCTGGAAAACTGATTTCACTTTACTGACGGTTATCAGAGCGTTTAACCTTTGATAAAACTGGGATTTATCTGACAAAACTGTCAAAACAAGAGTCAAAGCTCTTTTTGTTTCTGTGAAAACTACTTTACTTCCATAAAACTTTTTCATATTGGATCCAAACAATGAAAAAAAATCAAGAACAAGTACGTACAAGACGGGCTCAGGAAGCACTCAACAGGCACACTGCAGACGTCATCAGATGACTCAGTCTGTGCAGCCGAAAGCTGCAGCAAATCTAACTAATGTATCTTTATCACCTCCACCCAAGATGATTGATACAGTCCTGCTTGTTTCTGCCGTCAGCGAGCAGTATGGAAAGTTACGTCAAGGGAATCATTTGGTGCAGTAGCAGGACGTGTTTTTTTTTTCTGTCATTAGAGTCGTACACTCCTGCAGTGTTCATCTTCTGCACACTTTCTACTTTATAGTTCTCTTAAACCGGCTGGAGTGAACCACGTTTAAATCACACTTTGACATTTTGGAAAGTTTGCTTCTCTTTCTTGCCAGCAGTTCGATTAGCAGATCCATATCAGCCTGGAGGTGAAGCCAGGAGGCAATTAGCTTAGCTTTGCAGCTTAGCTTGGCTTTGTCCAGAGATCTTGATTGCGTTGTTGTTGTGAGGTGTCCAGCGAGCCGCATTTAATATAATGACCAAGCTCAGAGGATGATAGCCAAGATAGATAGGATATTTTCAAAAAACAAATATATGATCATTGTAAGTTTTCCTGTTGTGGAACAAATAGAGGAAAATCTTTTCTTGTCTGATTAAAAGGCTCAAAAACGCAAACTAACATGTAGTAGACTAGCTAATGCACATTTACATTAATATACGAAAACTATACGTAAGAATATAACATCTGCAGGACACTTGAATGATTGCTGTTAGGGTGGAAAGTGAAGACAAAGAGGGTAAAATATCTACCCTGGCCATGTTGGTACCCCAGTCAAAAAAGCCTGGACACGCCCCTACATAACAGTACAAAGAAATTGTTGGGTTTGAACGTCGTCAGGATGTCAAGTTTGCTCAAAGAAGCAGTAGAAACACATATCTGTCAATTTTTAAGGCATGAGAGGAATCAGCCAAACTTTGCCGGCTTTCCCAGAAAGATGGTAAAAAGGTGACCCCTGTACAAGCAGGTGGAGGGGAATCAGTGAATGAACAGTGTACAAGCACAGCACCACCTAGCCTCCTGCAAACCGATCAAGATGAAGTTGGCTTGTGCTGGC